CATTTATGTGCTGCCAGAATAGCAGAAGACTATTGCTGAGCTATGGCGTCCCAGTTTCAGATCAGTTCATTTTCTAGAACAGGTCATTGACTAATATACAAATTTAACTGAAATGTTTCTCAGGACCTGGCAGTGGTAGAGAAGACTCCTTTCAAAACATAAAATATCTTCTGAAGATGAGGGTTAGGTTTGGTCCTCGGAAGCCCATGGTTGTCGGACAAGGTGACAGATGAGGTTGGGTGGTCAGACTCACTGACTCACTTGCTGCATGTCGTTGTATCTTAACTTCGTACAGCAGTCCTTATGATGTAGTTTTCATATAGCTGGAATATTGCTGAGGGCATAATTGCTAAGAAAAGCAACAGCTGGTTAGAGAAGCCATCAGTTCGAGCTACTTGTAAACATTCATGTAAAGTAAGGTGAAGTCTGTGCTACACTTGTCCTGTGATGTTGGCATACACGTTGTACAAGACACAGCTGGATAAGTTGTTGTTGATAAATGTGCAGGTCAGGGATCCCAAGTCCCCAGGTTTACCTTTTGTAAATTCCAGGTAGGATAGTCAAACTTTACCTGCATATACACAGCATTCAATAATGTTAGAGTATGCAGGTTTTATCAAGTGCCCTGAGACTAAGTTCCTCCACCACCGTTTCCACTTGAGAGATGATCTCTTCCTGCCCGTTGATGGACTTCTGGCTGTTCTCCGAATCATTAGGCTTTGTTTGGTGATGAAGGCCCAGCTTGATCATTACTTCATTGACATCCTTCAGTAGTTTTCACCACTGTCGTGTTCATTTGTTCCTGTCTTGTAGTAACTGGCATTGTTTCTGTTATTGTGTCCAGTGTTAGTTCCATACTTTTTTGTGTTGACATCATTCTTCTCTCCGTGGTGTAGTGGTTAGAGCATCCGCCCGGAGAGCACCGGTCGTGTCATACCAAAAGATGTTAAAATATGGTACTTGTTGGCTAGTACAAGCAGCCGCACATACACATACACACGCATGCACGTCGTCATATGAGCAAATATTCTCAAGCACGACGTTAAACCCAATTTCAACTCACCTCACTTCTTCTCTTATGGACATGTTAGTGGCTACTGGGTAAGACAAAGAAATCTAGTTAATCAGGAGTTCAAAATATTCCTCCTGAATGTTTTCTTTTTCCGAAATTATGACAAAGCAGCTTGAGCTAATGTTGGTGTAGCGGACATAGATGAATGAATCAGAAGCATTGGCGGATACAGCTTTTTGAGACAGGGGGTGCACACTCTTTAGAAGGGGGGTGGGGTGCACACTTCATTTTCACCAGACTTTCAATGGTCATTTAATAATTTTTAAGACAAAAGGGGTGGGTGCAAACCCCTGCACCCCACCTGTGGATCCACCTATGAGAAGGCCCATGAATAAATTTGAACCATGGACCTGCAATGTTAGCCATCTTGCTGACGTGACTAAATGTAAGCTGACATCGAGGTGAGGATGTCATGATGTGATGGCTACATACCCTGATAAATAGTGTCAGGTTATGGTAGTCAACAAAAAGATGTTATTCCTGAATTGTGTTCAAAACTTTCAATGACCAGCTGATATTGTTTCATCATTCAGCATGATATATGTCAGTTCCATATGATATCTTAACATGAAATGCCTAGGGACAAGATCGTGCGATTTTCGACCCAGTCTGCACGATGAACTGTGCCTGGGCTCATATCGGTGCAGTAGAGGTGTGAAGCCGCTAATTATGATGGGGCCATACTACTCCCCTGAAAGAACCGCTGATACCTACTTATAATGAATGCTTATAATGAAACACCTAATTATTGCTTGTAATTCGATAATGAAGTACTTGTCTGGCTCTTAATCAAATCATGGTGACTATTACCCACTATATTTAATTATCTACACTGCTGATAGTAGGTATTGAATTCCAGAAAATATGAGTCAATATCGTGCAGAGAAAATGGTGATTATTTGATAAAAAAAGTGTATCTGAACAAAGACCAAAATGTGTTATCTCTAATGCAGTTAAATGATAACATGGTTGCAACAAAATATCCCTCTATTGCAGGAGACAGTGAGTATAATATAATTCTGTTCTGGTGGATAATGGCTATGTGATGGCTGTAATAATGCCCGTGTGATAATGTTGAACAGTTACGACTCTGCTTTAACAGAGTTGAATAATAATAATAGTGCACTTGTATAGCACCTAATTTCCAACCGGTGGCTGCTCAGTGGTGCTTCACAAGGTTAAAAATAAGAATGAAATAAACGGAGTTATTGGTTGAAGAGATAGGTTTTCAAGTCACGGCGGAATGACTGGATACATTCAGCTTATATTACAAGATCAAATTAAGAACAATAGTCTGTAGGAGATTGTCACAGGGCTTTTGTCATGAATTGAAGATTTAAGGGGCCCCATATCAAGTGCTATGAAAGCATACTAGAGGGTAATTTGTAACACTACTGTTAAAGAAGTATGATACAGAGTTATCCAACAGAATTGAAGAATATATTCCTGACTTACAAGAGGGGAATATTGAAGAATGATAAAACGGCTCTGCTCTGACAGGATTAAAGAATATATCTAGCCTGTATTGCATTAAGGTGTGATAATGAAGTTGGCCTCCTCATCACGTATTCCCCAGCCACCTCGCAAGTGTCCTGGTTGCTGTATCAAGATATATGTGGCAGATTGAGAGGCTGTTAGACATTGATCTGTTCCTTGAGAATAATGACCTTTCCAGTAATTAGTTTTCATTGACAAGTAGCTCCACGTTGGTTGTAAACACTGATCTTCTACGTGACAAAACTTCACACCAGAGTTATCTTCCCTGAAAGACGAGTCTCGCCCAGTTTTTCTAATTTTGATCTATTTTTGGTTTGTTGAATGAAGTATACGTTACTGGTTTGATATTTCATCTGGTTTGATATTTCATCTGGTTTGTTCGGGATTGGACTAATCGGGCTGAATGTTTGTTTTGAGATGTTTTTGATGTTACTAATGTTGCTCCTGTTTCAGCTGAGTTTTTATGCTACTGCAAGTGTACTAGGATGATACAAGATATTCACGTCGTTTGTAACAAACGCTTCGAAAATCTTGACATCTGGAGTGTTTAAAGTAAAATGATGGATAAAATGTGTTAGCATTTGAAGAGAAATAGGAAAGCCACAATAAGGATTGGTAAGTCAGGGTTGATGAAAACAAAAGGAAAAAAACGCATGTTATAAGCATACCAAGAATTTAATGATTGGTAAGTTGGTTATTGAAATGGGTACGGAATTTGGATTGGTAAGTGATTAAATTGTGCAAATAATTGCTGAAATCTTGGTGGGTGTTGTAAGTGCGCCCTGTAGATGTGTGTGTATACATGCAGGATTTGGCTGGTAATACCAAGGTTCCGGGACTAATGGCTGTATTCCTTATTTCTCTTCAGACATCAACCAAACATGATGGCCTAACGGGGCATCCATGTTGCCTAAACATACGAAAGATTGCTCAAACTTAACACAGTCACATAGGTTTGTATGTGTGGTAAGCGTGGGTGTACTCTAGCTGGGACAAGATGATTGGTTTAAACATTCACTGTTTCAAAATTCTGAAGTCGGGTCAGATCTTGTCCAGTCGCGAAAATCCTACATCTTTAAAAAGACTTAACGAGTGGATGAGTAAATCTTCTTTGGATGGTTAGATTTGAGTGTGCTATGATAAGTATATTTGACTTATTTCATTCAAACAGCACACAAGAAATAGCATTGGATATTCAAATGGTGTTCATAACAAACAAGAGATTTATCATTTTTTTATAGTTCTTTTTATGAAACCAGTCATAACAAACAAGAGCTTTATCATTTTTTTATAGTTCTTTTTATGAAACCAGTCATATTTTAAAGGGGGAAGAACTCATGGACTGGGTGATTAAATGGGAAAATATACAAAGTACTATTCAAAAACTGTCACATCTTTTCCTGAAATGTTAAGGGAGGGATTTTGTAATGCAATTTATGTGACATTCTCCATGTGGTCAGGTAAGAAAGGGTTTTATTTCGGGTAAGTTTTTCGGGTAAGTAAAACACGCCCAGGAGGACTGCAAGATAGATGGCGTCGTTTCCATGGCGACCATGTATTCCGCCTTTGCAAGTCTGTCCAGATTTAGGAAGGGACCATCCGTTGTGAGCTGGGTAGGTAGGGTGGCGTAAGTGTTCTAATATTTTCAATCTTTCGTGTGACTTAGGGCTTTTTACTGTTCAGGTTATAAGTTTTCCAAATTTCTAAATTTTGTATGCAGGTAGGTATGAATGACACTTTGTGTCGGTTAACTGAGGTAAGCTTGTTTTCAGATAACAGTGGAATGTGATGACCTGTGTCAAGTTTCAAAATGCCACGCTTATCCACACGAGACCACATTTTGATGTTCTGATACCTTCAGAAATATTCCTGGTTCTTAAGATGGAATGATTAAAGTTCTCGAGTTTTTCTTAGCTGATTCTGGAATAATACATTTATACCATGCTACCTTTCCTGTCCTTAGTGGTAAGCAAGGATTGGATTGGGAGTTTGCTATGAATGTTGGAAAATGGATACTTCTCAGTGTGGATAAGTGTTTTATACAATGACATTGTTTTTCAGAAATACAGGTGAGACAAGGTGAACCATAGAGATCTGCACTCTTGTTGCTAGGCAACAACCATCCCTAATCATGACATTTTTCAGGAAACTCTTTTGGCCCAGAAAGAATATTGAAATTGCAAAGACATCGTTGTGATTTTATTGCCTCTTTGATCACTTTTTTGGAAACTGCTGAAAGGGAGGTAAATCTCGTTAGTGGTTACAAGATATGTTTCCCTTTGAAAGAAATGACATTGTACAATCATTTGTCATAGAGATTATTAATGTACTGGTAAGTATAGCAGGAGTGTAGATGTCTGTAGATCTGCTTCCTCTCTGAAACACTTGACACTATTTGTATTTTCATTTGTTATCTGTGTTATATTTTTAGCTGCTTATAAGCATGCCGACGGCAAGAAGATTGACGGGCGCCGTGTACTGGTGGACGTCGAGCGAGGCCGGACTGTTAAAGGATGGCGACCCAGGCGACTAGGTAGGTAACGCTGATTGAATGGGGGTGGTAATTGTCTAGCTGCATCAACGCATGTAGCGTATGATGTATTTAAGTTATATATCAGTAATGTACTGATTCTAGTACTATTGGGGTTTGGGTCCTATCTGGGATTTGAATCCACTCTCAGTGTCAGGCGCCTCCAAGTTATTCTGTGGACCTTTTTTTGACATCAAATCTACATGCGATGTTGTGGACATTTTGTAACCTGAATCGAATGGGGTGCTGGAAACCTATTCTGACATGGGATGTCTGCATATCACCAATAGCTGCATATATCACAGTGACAACTCTATGTACAATATAGTATCGTCTATATACCCTATCGGTGGGTAGCCTGGTGGTTAAAGCGTTCGCTCGTCACGCTGAAGACCCGGTTTTGATTCCCCACATGGGTACAATGTGTGAAGCCCATTTCTGGTGCCCCACACTGTGATATTGCTGGAATATTGATGAAAGTGGCATAAAACCATACTCACTCACTCTTGAGTGTAGTGCACACTTTTGGAAAAAATGCTAGGTAATCATTCACATAGTGAATTTTGATGTGTTTTTACCAATGCACAGACATGACCATGAGCACCTAACTCTCAGAATATCATGTCAACAAATCTGACTTGAAGTATGCAATTTAATCATGTAATAACACTGTCTGGTTTTAAACTGTTCGTTGTAAAGCTGGACTTGTGTTAAATCTATTCTATTGAATTTATCAAAAACTTCATCTAATATAATTTACACAAATTTCCACGAAATCATTTGAATTTTGAGTATCAAACAGTGTTCGTTACGTTGTTCGTTGTAAAGCAGGACTTACGTTTTTGATCTATTTTATTAGATTTGATAAACTTCATTTAATATAGTTTACATAAATTTCCAAGAACCAACTGACTGATATTTACAACAACCATGGTCAGATTACTTATATCCATGGCTTGAAGTGAAGGGTTTGTTTGATGTAAGATGTGAAAACATCAGATCTTAGCTCACTGTTACTTTGATATTATAAGTGCTCATATGTTTCTTATAATGTAAGCTTGGGACATTTGACTTCTTTGAATGTTTCCCAAAGCAGGAAGTGACATTTTCAGACCAACAGTGCATTTCACTTTCTGATCATGTAAGCTGGAGGCATGATGTATATATTCATATGTATATGTTTGGATTACAAGTGTGGGGCATTTAGGAGGTGAATATCTGTTTCTGTTTCTGGATATAATGTAAACACCTTCCAATTTTTTGGCCAGTATTTTAGGTATAATTTTGTTGTTTTTGAAGTATGTGAAACAAGATTCTCCATCTTGGCATTAATTCAGCATAACAGTAAAGATAGCTTTAAACATAACATATATTTCTCTGAAGTTTTTCATACATTTTTCTGAAAAAGAATTTCTTGCAACTATAATTATTTCATCTGTGATGGCCAGGACAGATAATGGTAGCCAGGTGAAAAAAATGAGGTGTTCCTAAACTTCTTTTAGCCGTATATAAATGTACAATAGCAAACAAGTAAACTGCAGAGAGTAACGTCAAGTTTAAAATCGGAGGACAACAGCTTTATAGTTCTCAACGAGGCAGTTCGTAACATTTGAAGGAGCAAACACATGTTCAGTCATCTCAGTATTGCACCAAACATAGACTTGATGATTAAAGAGAAGAATATGTCCAACAGAACCTAATAAGATTGTTACAAACAGTGGTGTGGTGGTGATGATGATGATGATGATGATGATGATGATGATGATGATGATGATGATGCATGTGGGAACCATGTTGTGGACAACACACTTTAAGGCTTGACAAGCATATTCTTAAGCCAGAATAACAGGAAGTGTGTCTGTGAGTGAACATTCTCCACAGAGTTCAAGTGGTAATTAGTGTTAAGCCTCCTACCTGTAGGTTTCTGTAAGGGCTTTTCCCGAGCTGTATGCCACAAGACCCGTCCTTCTCAAAGCCAAGTACGTTCATGATGGCCACTCCAACAACTGGGTATATATCCTGGATCTCTTACGTCTATCAGTGCCCTGACAGGGGCAGACCTTCTATCATAGGTTAACAATGATTACACACAAACAGTTCAGTTTCCTAATCTCGCCAATTTGAAAAAGTAAATTAATTAGATAGTTCTGAGTTTGTGATCGTATGAGTAGAAAGTACTGGATACAAATTTCTGAAATCCTATATGATCTTACAAAGAAACACTTTCCTTTATCCAAAAGAAGCCAAATAACCCCCGTACTATTTGCTGAAGCAATCCTGAAGAATGCCTGCCCACATAAACAACTGGCTCCAAGCACCATCTGACACAGGTTCATGTGAATCTGCCATTAATCTACAGTCGCTTGTACAGGAATCAGAGTGCATGTGTGTCAGTTGTGTAATTGGTTGATGACAATGCCGAGAATTGGGATCTTTGTCTGTGCCGTTGTCCAAACTGATCGTTGATGTAAGTAGTGTTGAAGTTCATGAGATGGGGACATGCACGACATGGTATCAGCGCTAATTGTTGACATCAGTTAATTGTTGATGTACAGGATCAATAGGGATTATATTTACAGTGCCATTGTTACAATGTATGAGGCAGGGAACTCTGGTTTCTTCACACACAATTAACCTGATGTGTGGTATTAAGCTGTCACTCTAAACATTGCTGGGTAAATGGGAGTTCTTCTGAGGCCACAACACCCAGATCTGGAATTGCACAAGGCCACAACATCCTGATCTAGACTTGTACAAGGCCACAACTCCCTAAATTTCATAAGTTTCTGAGGACACAACACCCTGATCTAGAGTTTCATATGTCTCTGAAGCCACAACGCCCTGATCCAGAATTTCATATGTCTCTGAAGCCACAACACCCTGATCTAGAATTTCATATGTCTCTGAAGCCACAACACCCTGATCTAGAATTTCATATGTCTCTGAAGCCACAACACCCTGATCTAGAATTTCATGTCTCTGAAGACACAACACCCTGATCTAGAATTTCATGTCTCTGAAGACACAACACCCTGATCTAGAATTTCATATGTCTCTGAAGACACAACACCCTGATCTAGAATTTCATAAGTTTCTGAAGCCATAACACCCTGATCTAGAATTTCATAAGTCTCTGAAGCCACAACACCCTGATCTAGAATTTCATGTCTCTGAAGACACAACACCCTGATCTAGAATTTCATAAGTCTCTGAAGCCACAATGCCCTGATCTAGAATTTCATGTCTGTGAAGCCACAACACCCTGATCTAGAATTTCATAAGTTTCTGAAGCCACAACACCCTGATCTAGAATTTCATGTCTGTGAAGACACAACACCTTGATTTAGAATTTCATATGTCTCTGAAGCCACAACGCCCTCATCCAGAATGTGTCTCTGAAGCCACAATGCCCTGATCCAGATTTCATATGTCTCTGAAGACACAACACTCTGATCTAGAATTGTACAAGGCCACAATCTGGACTGATTGGACTTGCAGAAGTCTCTTAGACAATATTTGTTATTAAATCATAATCTCAAGATTATATAAGCATAGAATTACTTTGTAGCCATTGATTATCATACATATAGCCTTTGAGCAAGGCTAACTGAGCCCTTCCATTAGACTCAGGCAGTATTTACCAAGATGAAACTATGAACCGTTTCTCCATGAATTTTTCTGATATGAACAAACTAAGTATGTTGACTGGGTAATGATGTGTTGAGGACAATGAAACAGTGTTATAGGTCAGGGCAAGTTTGCATTGAATGTGACATTGATGACACAGCTCATAACAGGTGTTGATATAAACCTGCCATCTTTTCTTTGTTATTTGTCCTGACAAAACCTGTTGTATTCCGTTGCTTAAACGGTCTCATTTCTCATGTCTTTGTCTCATTTGTGGAAACCAGAAAGTAAATGATTGTTTCGTTGTCTTTCAGGTGGGGGACTTGGCGGAACCCGTAAAGGAGGTCCGGACGAGAACACGCGGTTCTCTGGACGTGATGAGTACGCACGTGAGAGGTGAGAGCTGTTTGCTGTCACACATAGCTTAGTTGTCTTGGTTATTAAGCATGTACTTACTTATTAATTGATGATTAATTGATTAATAAGATGAGGAGGACCACCAGCTCTTGTCACGGCACATGTAGAGCCTGAGGAGTTAAATAATGACCTTAGACGAGTTATTTTGTACAAAACTGAGCAGGCTCAACATGAAACCTTTTTGCCGAGTAAGCATATTTGAAGTACGCTGATCACTGAAATAGCCCTTCATCTTGTGAGATGATGCATAAACCTTCAGTATCCTGCTCTGTGTTTGAAATTTAAGGTAAAACTAAACAACAGTTGTAGAAATAAATATTTTAGGGGCCTCTTGATAGTGTAAAAGCAGGAACATCTCACAGACCCCGTGATCTCCATTTGTTTCAAACACTGTTGATCATGTTCAATATGGAGGAAGTGAATGAATTCAAACAGTCTTTCAGGTACCATACTCCATTGGAAGTCAGTGTCTGGACTGTTAATTAAGAACTTGACTTCATAAAATGCTGCTGTATACAAAAAATGTAGGCAATGAGCAACCCAGCTTATTATGTAACATTATCTGCCCATATGTCAGCATTGTGTAGGCTTGTATATAGGAGTGTCACGTACACTTCTTGATTAGTCGAACCAAGAAACTCACAAAGAACACAATGAAAGTGTCTGATCCTGAGCACGGACTTGCTCTGCAGCCAGGTATCAGGGACTTGATTCTTTTTCAAACATACATATAACAGATTGGTGAGATTTTGATAATTGGATGTTTCATGCCTTGTGATCAGCCAGGACACACAAAACGTGTCACATTGTGGCAGTATTTAGTGTCAGTGCCTCCTTAGTGAGTTTCTAACTACTTACTGTGTCACCAGCCTCCGCCTCTGCTTCCAGCTCAGAGTCCTGCTCCTCGTCAACTGTTTCCATAATCATGTATAGACTAATCTTTATTTATATCACAGTTTCCGTGGGGATGAGAGAGGTGTTGGTGGAGGAGGCGGCCGTGAACGTTCCCGTAGCAGGGAGAGAGAACGTCGCAGCCGTGAGCGAGAACGTGAACGTCCCAGACGCCGAAGTAGGAGCCGAGAGAAGCGTCGTTCTCGCAGTCGTGAGAGGAGGAGAAGCCGGGACAGAGATGCACCTGAAGGTAAAAATTGAAGAGTTACTTGATCTTTACAAGATTATTGTGATTTAGATACGGGCTGCTGTCAGGTAGCTGGAATGTTACCAAATGCAGTGTTTGTTCAGGAACATATCAGACTGTTACGTTTCATCACGTCAGTAGCAGGTCAATGATTTAGTTGGTTTGTTGTTTAACGCCACACTCAGCAATATTCCAGCTATATGGCGGCAGTCTGTAAATAATCAGGTCTGGACCAGACAATCCAGTGATCAACAGCATGAGCATCAATCTTCACAATTGGGATACAATGACGTGTGTCAACCAAGTCCGCGAGCCTAACCACCCAATCCTGTTAGTCAACTCTTACGACAAGCATGGGTTACTGAAGATAATTCTAACCCGGATCTTCACGGGTTGAATCTTAGAAACAGCCTGCTGTCATGTAGCTGGAAGATTACCGAATGCGTTGTTAGTTCACGAACATATCAGACTGTTATGTATCATCACATCAGTATTAGGTCAATGAAGCACATTCAGTTTTGTTTTAATAACATTATAGCGCAGGGAGTAAATAATGTGTTTGAGCTTTGTGGTAAAGGGATATAGATAACATAGTTTTGTATGTTTGTTTCAGAAGAGGAAATGGGACGTTCCAAGGACAGAAAGCGCTCGCGACGCAGTCGGTCCCGCGAGCGTAAAAGGAGCAGGTCCCGTGACAGGAAGCGCAGTCGCCGTAGCCGCAGCAAGGAACGCCGCAGACGACGAGAAGGTGGTGATGATGGTTTTGATGAAGTCGTCGTCAAGACTGAGAAGGGTGATGACTACGGCTATGGTGGCATCAACGGGAGTGGAAATGTTCCTCAAGAACCAGAACCACCAGCACCAGAAGAAGCTGCACCACCACCAGACAACAATGGAAGTTTCCCCGCCATCGAGACGCAGAACGAGGCAGAACCACCACAGGAAGAAGATGGATACGGAGAATGAAGACCTTCCTGATTTTCCAGTTTTCCTTTGTGAGACTTTCGGGACAGTCTTGACATTCTGCACATGTATTTGAGTTGGTGTTCTCCTGAGCTAGGTCACGTGTGTGTTCTACTGAGCTAGGTCACGTGTGTGTTGTATGCTCTGCTAGCACTTTACCACACTCAGAATTAACTCTTCATACCCTGGTACATTTACCACTGAGAATTTGTCTCAATATTCCCTCAATTTCAAGTATTGCAGCGACTTAATTTTGCTCATTTCACGCTGTTGTGTATATATAGGGTAAATATTCCGTAACTTGTCACCACATCCACCATCATCAGTCTTGCCAACATAATTTTGCAGGGTTTGTTGAAATCGGAATATCTAAATCGATGAGTTTTGCAATTTCAAAGTCTCTGCATCCTTGATTTCAATTGTTCATAATCCTAGTCGATTGTTCCCAGCTTTGTTTTAAGGACGGTTCAGTGTTTTACATGCAGCAATAACTATTTTATGCTTGTATAGAAACGCCAAGTCCTGTAAACTTGCATCATTGGATTGGACTGTTTTCCTGAACTGTTTGAAATCCTCCCAAGAAAGAGTTTAGTCAGTCACTAATCCGTTTCCTAGACCAAGATGCTGTGCATCTGCACTCCACAAGCTAATCATCCCAGAATTCATTAGACCGTCCTTGTTCAGAGGAAAGGCATCTTTGTTATCATTATTTTAAATTGTCATCAAGTTCATTTGCAAATTTTTAATGTGTTACGCTTTTGTGTCTTAGAAAATGCTGTGTAGATGAACTAATCAGATTGCTGTTATTATAATGTAATTCAATTGGACTACCAAAGTTGTGAGGGTTGTCCAGAATTTAGAAGCCTTTATGACATTCATCAGTAACCAGTGATTCTGGTAGCATCTCAAGATAAGCACCATCAAGCCAAGATCATCAGCTGAATCGGACAAGCCCAGATGAAAATGAGGGCTTTTATCATTCAGGACTCCTCCACTTGATGAACGCTAGGGATTTGCTGTACCTATTCAATTTTGAAATTTCATATCTAGAGCAATTGGTGATCTTGTAGAGTAGCCATGATTGGAAAGCAAGGATAAAGTTTCATGCGTTCCAATTCTCTTCCAGCTCGGTATTGTGGCATGAGCACCTAATGGTAGTCGTGGTCCTCCTACACAGCTGTAATGTTTGTCTACTGTAATAAAATAAACTAAATGAGAAATTTGTTTGTGTTATGTTGAAACGAGTGGCATGACCTGCACTGGTGTCAGATATCACTTGGCTGACATGAGCTATATTTGCTGGTTTGAAAGTGCCCAAGGTTTATGATGTAACCATGCACTGGGCAGTTATTACTGGTGTATTGTGAACCTGGTAGCTTAGGGCAGCCCTAATGCTGGTTTGGTATGACCTGGTGAATGGTTAAAATATGTGATTTTGGGTGCTGTGCCACCCTACGCCTCCCCACTTCATTCCGTGCCACGCCGCAATGGACTGACAAATTTTCTTAGTTGACAGGGCGGTGGGGTAGCCTAGTGGTTAAAGCATTCGCTCGCCACGTCGAAGACCCGGGTTCGAATCCCCACATAGGCACAATGTGTGAAGCCCATTTCTGGTGTCCCCCTCTGTGATATTGCTGGAATATTGCTAAAAGCGGCGTAAAACCATACTCACTCACTCACTCTTAGTTGACAGATGGGTGGTTCAGTTTACTGTGTTTTTTTGTGTATTGCTTACAATTAACAACAGTTGAAGTAGTGAAAAGATTTGACAACTTTCTACCATCCAGAACGTCCAGACTGGAAGGCAAAGGCATAATAATTCTCACATGTCAGGCTGACATCTCTTGACATTACTGATCGAGCCAGGGACACATAACCACAATTGCTGGTAACAATTGCCACAGTACAGTTTACTTATTGCTGATAACACTAGCCACACTAGTTTACATGTTGCTGATAACACTAGCTACACTAGTTTACATGTTGCTGATAACACTAGTGACACTAGTTTACATGTTGCTGATAACACTAGCGCCACTACAGTTTACTTATTGCTGATAACACTAGCCACAGTACAGTTTACATATTGCTGATAACAATTGACAGACTACAGTTTACATGTTGCTGATAACTTTAGTGACACTTTGCTGATAACACTAGCCACACTAGTTTACATGTTGCTGATAACACTAGCGCCACTACAGTTTACTTATTGCTGATAACACTAGCCACAGTACAGTTTACATATTGCTGATAACACTAGCCACAGTACAGTTTACATATTGCTGATAACACTAGCCACAGTACAGTTTACATATTGCTGATAACACTAGCCACAGTACAGTTTACATATTGCTGATAACACTAGCCACAGTACAGTTTACATATTGCTGTTGGCACTAGCAACACTACAGTTTACATATTGCTGATAACACTAGCCACAGTACAGTTTACATATTGATGTTGGCACTAGCAACACTACAGTTTACAAATTGCTGATAACACTAGCCACAGTACAGTTTACATATTGCTGTTGGCACTAGCAACACTACAGTTTACATATTGCTGATAACACTAGCCACAGTACAGTTTACATATTGCTGATAGCACTAGCCACACTACAGTTTACATATTGCTGATAACACTAGCCACAGTACAGTTTACATATTGCTGTTGGCACTAGCGACACTACAGTTTACATATTGCTGATAACACTAGCCACAGTACAGTTTACATATTGCTGATAACAATTGACAGACTACAGTTTACATATTGCTGATAACACTAGCCACACTACAGTTTACATAATGCTGTTGGCACTAGCGACACTACAGTTTACATATTGCTGATAACACTAGCCACACTTGTTTACATATTGCTGATAACACTAGCCACAGTACAGTTTACATATTGCTGTTGGCACTAGTGACACTACAGTTTACATATTGCTGGCACTAGCCACACTACAGTTTACATGTTGCTGATAACACTAGCCACAGTACAGTTTACATATTGCTGTTGGCACTAGCCACACTACAGTTTACATATTGCTGATAACACTAGCCACAGTACAGTTTACATATTGCTGTTGGCACTAGCCACACTACAGTTTACATATTGCTGATAACACTAGCCACAGTACAGTTTACATATTGCTGTTGGCACTAGCAACACTACAGTTTACATATTGCTGATAACACTAGCCACAGTACAGTTTACATGTTGCTGATAACACTAGCCACACTACAGTTTACATGTTGCTGATAACACTAGCCACAGTATAGTTTACATATTGCTGTTGGCACTAGCAACACTACAGTTTACATATTGCTGATAACAATTGACACACTACAGTTTACATACTGCTGAGAACACTTGTAACACTACAGTGTAGTAGTGTCATCAACAATATGTAACGTACAATTTACTTATTGCTGATGACACTACCGACACTACAGTTTACATATCAGTTATGAAAATTACTGATCGTTCACGTTCAGGCAAACTGGTCAAATGACTTCAACCTCCCTATTAAATTAATTCAGTGTTTACATGTAACAGAGGTATTCGTACACGTACACTGTATGTAGGTTCAGTGATGACGAACACTTGTGTGGGGTTTCAGGGATTTATTCGGCGCTGGTGACGTGGGATAAGGAGATCCCCAGTTGACTGAACAGTAACACAAAACGCCCTCGTCTCAGGGACGCAGGCAGAATAGTCCAACAGCTAATAAAACATCTGATTCTCAGTGAACCCCATAATGTGCTGGTGCTGTGCAGGTATTGTGAGTCTCAAGGAGAAAATGTATACTGCCACAAATGAAAGGCAGTAGAAGGCTTTAAATATGATGAGAAGCTGAAACCTTTGAAACAATAGGAACCTTGACAACAGGCCAATGCAGAGATTGAACCTGACACAGATCACTTAACCTTAACAATAGACCCCAAGCTAGCTTACCAGTGAGTTAGTTAAACAGTGCAAGTGTTAGTGTTAACACAGGCCAGTTTGATAATGATAAAGTTTTATACCTAAGTTTAAAATAATGAAGTTTAACACATTAAAATGACATTTATTTATTCACTGTTTACAAGCAATGATATTTTAGTTGGTGAACCATTCAAACCCAAGATTCTACAGATTGTCACATTGGCCTTATAGTGTAGCTATTCAGGTCTGCCAGTGTTCGTCCACCAAGGGGAATCGTTTCCTTGATCCTGCAGCAGCGGTGTTGATGTGGTAGTGTCTGGTCTCTGAACACGCACGTCGCCAGTGTCAAGAGAGGAGACAAGGCAATTCATCCAGTTAATAAGAAACAAGACGAGGGAGAGCTGCCCACCCTGAAGCTGGTCTGGCTAGCTCACGTTGATTGTCTAACGCCAAATGAAGTATATATGGTATATCATCACATCCGAAGTAGGTCACTTTGACCTATATTTTGAAGAAAGGCGATTAGGTTAATCTACAATTACGTGTTGTGCGAGTAATTTTTTTCTGATGTAAATATGTTGAACGCTCGTCAGTGTGAGTAAGTGAATGCTCCCTAACTGTCATTTTAGTTCATTACTATAATACAAGGAGCGAGACTTGGCTTAGCGTTCCTGTCAAGTTTCATTTAAATCATTACCCACCCACTTTGTGTAATAACTCATAGTTAACGGAGTATGACAAGTATATGTCGAAATATTAGTAACGATGTGGCAACCTGTATGAATGAATGTCAACAATGCCAGCGCTAAATTCCAACTCATTCACAAGCAAACTGACAGTGCGGTCAAGGTGCTTTGCAAATGATCAGTGTTCTCATGTAGAGTGGTCCAAGATATCGCTGAGGAGCTAGGCTTGGAGTTTAACAGTGTAAATGTCTATATGCACGAACATCCTTAGCTTGAGAGTTCTCGAGATATCTGTTTACAAAATCGCTTGGGATATTGAACGGGTGCTGAATTACGTTGTGGAGATCTCTGCAGCCGGAAACAGATATGTCGCTGCACCGGATATACATGTTATTTGCGACACACTCCCATCAGGAGAAACACACAGGATTCGACATTAGAACAGTGTAATTACTGATGGTCAGAGTGCACGATATACCAGGTCAGCGTGTACTACAGCTTGAATGCAGAAACCCAGGTCATCACAGTTCTCATAAGAAAGGACGGTGGGGTAGCCTTATGGTGATATAGCTCGCCACGCTGACAGCAAGGGTTCGATTCCCCACATGGTTACATTATGTGAAGTCCGTTTCTGGTGTCCCCCGCCGTGATATTGCTGGAAAATTGCAGAAAGCGGTTAAACCCATAGTCAGTCACTCTTATTTGGGAATTGGGAGTTGCCATATCTCATCGGGGAAGGGAAGGGGGAACTTGTGGGGAGTAGGGGGAGAGAGGAGGGACAAGGTAAGAGGTACCATGGTGAAACGTTACATAAAATGGGGGTTTTGATAAACAGAAACAGGATAGAATTCTGAGATCAATCTTGGTGGTCATTTCAATGGAGTTGCATTGATACTTAGGTCTGTCATTGTTTGCTAAGCTAAGAACATTCCATATCGCTCGCCAGGAACAGAAATATCGGTCATAGATTTCAAGAGTAGACATTTCGTTCTTGTTTGTCGAAAAATGGAAAGATTGTTTTTGCTTGTCGTGAACGGAAATATCGTTATTGTTTGCCTAAAACAGAAACATTCCTGTTTGACGAAAATAGGAATTACACATTTTTTGTCACTCACTCATGTTGTTTGTCAAAATCAGAGTGAGTGAGTGAGTTTAGTTTACGCTGCACTCAGCAATATTCCAGCTGTATGGCGGCGGTCTGTAAATAACCGAATCTGAACCAGACAATCCAGTGATCAACAGCATGCGCATCGATCTACGCAATTGCGAACCGATGACTTGTGTCAACCAAGTCAGCGAGCCTGACCACCCGATCCCGTGAGTCGTCTCTTACGACAAGCATGGGTTACTGAAGATCAATATTCTAACCCGGACCTTCACGGGTATGTCAAAAAGAGAAATATCGTTATCGTTACTGGCAAGAACAGAACATATGTCTTATACCCCACTGGAACTAATGACCCGTGAGAACCCGGGTTAGAATTGGTCTTCAGCAACCCATGTTTGTCGTGAGCAATATTCCAGCTATATGGCATCGGTCCGTAAACAATCGACCAGACAATCCAGTGATCAACAGCATGAGCATCGATCTACGCAAATGAGAT